AGTAGCTGATCTTAAAGTGGGGGCAGTGGAGGATCCAGTCTCAACCTTCATTTTAAACAGACAAAAATGCCAAAACATTACCAGACAACCCGAAATAAGCTGTACATTGTTCAGACTTCAGCCTTCATCATTTAGAAACCAGTGTTTCTAAAGAGTTTAGTGTTTAGGCAATTGTTTAGAAATATGTATATCACAGACAAAAGATTCCACTTATTTAATGCAAAATCAGCCTCCTTGGAGAGTGGTGAAATGTTGTGCTTTTTTAAATGTTACACCGGCCAAATGCAGTGGCTGGGATTTGCCCCCTCTTACCTCTCTGCCCAAAGCATTGGAGTGGATCTGATATTGACCTGGGTAAATCTATACAGTACTCTTCATAGACTGGATGATGATGCCATAATGCGTAAGGTATTGTGTGCATGTCTAATATTTCTCTGAATCAGGATGTCTCATTCTGAAATTGCACTGCAAGCATTCAGATGACCTAGGCAACCACTCCTTTGACAGAAACCAGGTTGCCCCCAGGTCAGAGTGAGTTGTCTCTCTCATTTAGTGTGTACTTTCTAACCTACCAGTCCAAAAATATTTAGCTTAAACCTTCATCCACAAACGCCTTCTCAGGTCTCTGCCTTGTAAGTTGGCTATGATAAGAGAGCTGCTCAAATAAACATCTACTCCATAGACTAGACTCCCCTGCTTGGTAATCTATATGCTACCTGAGTTTCAAAATCAGTGGTAACCTTAAAAAAAAGTCTCAGCCGCGCCCTGGAATGTGCCTATCTCTACAATAAATACCTTGTTGGACATTTCCATTCATGTTTGGACATGGACAGACTTTTCGTCCCATTTGCATTGTGTCCTTAAAACTCTTAAAGTCAACAAACACTGTCTTTTGTGGCCATAAACATGCTGACTAGGTAGATAGTCACAGACAAGGAAAGGCTGAATATATCCTAGTCCTAGTCATCACCCAACCCCCTCCTTCTGCCCAGACTTCCTCCTCCTCCTCCTCCTCCTCCTCCTTCTGTTTTGCTTTAGGAAATGTACCAATCTTAATTCTTTAAAACTAAGTAATTGCAAGAAAACAACATGCTTACATGAAACTGCCTGTGCTCCCATTCATCCCTTGATACCTTTGCTTCACCCCTCCCTCTGTTCCCACCGCGGCTCCACCAGACTTTAGATTGTATGCTCCTGTCAGGGAGTGGGCAGAGGAGGAATGGTGGAGACCGCCTCCCCACCCTGACCCTTCCAGGGAGGAGGAAGAGGAAGACAGTATAAATTTACAACAGGGGTTTGAGGGAGTTCACAGCTCAGAGGCAGATGAGGGGAAATGTTGGGAAATCATGGAAGAGCTGGAACAACACCCAGCTGACACGTTGTCATTAGAGAGCATTCCAGACCCTCCATCTCCCAGAACCCGGCAAGCCTTAAAAGTAGGAGAGCAAAGAGCTCAAAGACAAAGGGCACGTAGCAGCACCTGTAGAAGTGACGAATGAGGAAGTGAGAGAGACGGGGTGGAGATTCACTCGCGACAACACCATTATCCTAGAGGCTGGGTTCTGTAAAGATTGAAATTAAAAAGGACTGTAATAAACTTTCCTTTGTCTTTATACTTTCCTAGGCGACCAGCTAGGAGCTGCTGACAGCATCCTGACAGCTCCCTGAGGAAGTGGCCTGACTACTTTCTAATTATTCTCATGCTGCAAAACTCCCTGCGTGTGCATTGTTGGGTTTTAACAACAAATAAACAAAAGACCTGTATGAAGGGACTAAGGCCCTGGTGGTCAAAGAGCAACAGACAGATTGCAATCATGTTTAAAAGAGAGTGCACATAGTGTAATGGTTAGAGTATCGGACTAGGATCTGGAGGCCAGGGTTCAAATCCCTGCTCAGCTATGAAACTCACTGGGTGACCTTGGGCCAGTCACAGTCTCCCGGCCTAACCTACCTCACAGAGTTGTTGTGAGAAAACAAACATTTTAAGTGAAGAATATTATCCCAGTCTGTAATAGATTTGAAATTATTTTTATATATAGGATTGTGTAGAGACAATGCCAGGCTAGGACAGACAAACGGTCTAACATGGAATAAGGCTCCCTCCCATCCCCATCTCTGCTAGATCCATTTTACCAACAGGAAACTAAGAGCAACTTCCCAATGGTGGATATCATGTGACTTCATGGCTGAGCCTGACTTTGGAAGCAGGGTCTCAGGTCCAAGATCAACACTCTGTTCGTTGGTCCGGCCATCATACAAAAGGAAGATACTCTACATAGTAAAACTGATGTTCTTCAGCAGCTTTTTGAGCAGAGAAAATGTTTGCTCAGTTAGACAGTACATTGTAATACTAGCTGTGACTAACCAGAGTACTGTGTGTGTGTGTGTGTGTGTGTGTGTGTGTGTGTGTGTTGGATGTGACATTTGTAACAAGTCTATAATGCAAAACACAGAGACTTTTATCTGGATGGTCTCTAGCCCTGCTATGCTGATGCTAAAATTCTTTATCTGTTGTTTAAGTGCTTCCACCCGCTTATTTTATCTCCTTCTCCAGGCTTTATCTGTCTAGCTTTTTCTGCACTAGTAAATCCTGCCATGTTTGAGAAAGTCTGCCTGGCACTACCATCTTCCCCTTAAGCCCTTGTAGGAACTGCTTGCCTTGTTTGCTGTGGACAATGTCAGATAAGTGTTGACACCTATTATAATGAAAGTATCGCTAACTCCCTGGGACAATTTCCTTTTCCTCCTTAGGCAAATCCAGCACTGTGCATTTTATTGCATGGAATTCATCAAAATGCAATTAAATGCCATCAACAAAGAGACTGATTGAGTCTTTTATACCTGAACTGGAGATAATTGCCAAAAGATGACTAATGGCAGTCTAGTAGGATTTTCGTCTCTTTTACTTCTATGACACACCCACACACCATATCAGTAATTTATATGATTAAAGCTCACAGGTCCTGTCTCTGGTTTCTACCACACACACCATTATTTGTTGCAGAAACACACACGCAAACACCCCTCAAGCCTTTACTTTTTTTCAATTAACCTATATTTGCAAACAATCTATCTCAGGTGTCCATTTATGCACACATATGCATATGGAAGTCCTTCATATCATTTTTGTTGTTGTTGTAGCTTGGGGGAACTGCTAATCTTGAAGGGAGGGGGACAAAGTTTTTCCAGCTGGGCAGCTGGGCTTTGGTAGAAGTTAATAACCATGGCATAATGAAGGGGGAACACAGGGGAGCAGAACTTTGGTACATTTTCAGAGCAGGTGCAATGACATCACCAGTTGGGAGCACAGGGATCATTTATGGAGCCTCCTTGGTCTGGCAAGGGAAAGAGGTGATAATGAGGCTTTCAAGTACGCTTGTACTAAGGAATACGCTTTCAGCAGAGACTGTGTTGTTGAGCTCAGGACCTGCTTATAGGTTTCCCACAGGCCACCATGAGAACAAAATTGCAGAGCGCTTAAGCATTCATCCTGACCTGTTTGCACAAAGTCTGCATAGAGATTATAAGGCACCAGCTGATTAGTGAGCATTCAATCCAAGTTGTTTGTGGAGGGGTTATACCACCATGCCATGTCAAGCCACAAATGTTACCCCACATTTCCCAGTGCAGTTCGCCACTTTATTTACCACAAGAAACAACTAATTATGGGGGGGGGGAGTGGTTCATTGCACAACACCACCAAATCCACTTTAATTGGGCGACTTGAATCCAGTCACAATGGAAATAGGGGAAAGGTGCCATCTGGACGCAGCCTTAAGCAGAAGTTAATATGGCCAAGGACCTGGGCAGAGTGGGAGCATGTGGGAACTTGTAGGACTGGGAGAGGCTTGTGACTCTGTTCTGAGGGGGTTGTGGGTAAGCATGGGAGAGTGTGTACAACTGGGCCAACAAAAGGGATGGTCAAATGCATTGAGGAAAAGGCTATCAGTGGCTAGTAGTCATGGTGGCTATGATCTCCATGATGTTGGCTATGATGGCAGTGGGAACAGGAAGGAGATTATCGGACACTAAGGTCCACTTCTGAGGGTCTTCTGGAGGTTCCCTCACTGTGGGAAGTGAAGTTACAGGGAACCAGGCAGAGGGTCTTCTTGGCTGTGGCACCCTCCCTGTGGAACGCCCTCTCATCACTTGTCAAAGAGAAAAAGAACTACACAAATTTTAGAAGACACCTGAAGGCAGCCCTGTAGCAGGAATTTTTTTAATGTTTGACTTTTTTTATTTTTCATATTTTTCTGGAAGCCACCTGTGGCTGGGGAAACCCAGCCACATGAGCAGGGTATAAATAAAATAACAACTACTACTACTACAGGGGTTGTACTAGATGACCCTTGCGGACTCTTCCAACACTATAATTCTTTGATTCTATGACACGAAGGACAGACCTTCCAAAGACCCAGAGCCATTTGAGGATGAAAGACAAAGGCTCTGCATGCAAAAAGCCCCAGGTTGGATCTATGGACATAGACAGGATTTTTGTTTGGGGGGGCAGGCTTTTGTTGGGAGGGCAGAACCTCAGATTTGTATTGATTCTTTTTATTTTATTGGGGGAAGCAGCTGCCCTCCTGCCCGTGGTGGCTGGATTCCCCCAGCAGCTCCTGGTAGGGCCGGGAATGTCCTCTGAAAAGCAACTGCTGCCTCTCAAAGTGGACAATACCGACGAGACTCCGCGCAAGGCAGCTCTTGGACTCTGAAACCAAATGGGCCGATCCTACCCTCCAACTTTTGGACTTCAACGATCCCGCCACTGCCCCCCCCTGAGCTTTGTGTCCTCGCGCCCCCGCTCCAGTGGCTCAGCGCAGCTCCCATTTTGCGGGAACCCCGCGCGCTTTACGCCGAGGTCCCCCTCGTGCCAGAGGCAGGCGCCGCCCGCTCCTCTCCCACAGCCAAGCGCAGGCGCCGGAGAGCCCCCACCTCCCCGGTTCCTGCCCCTAATCAGAAAGCGCCGCCTGCGCCTTTAAGAGCTCGCGTACCTAGGCTGTAAACAGCGAGGAAGGTGGGTCGTCGCGGCGCGCGCGTGGCTCGGCGTCCGTCCCCCCGATTTGCCGCGCTCTCCTTTGCCTACTCTTCCCCTGCCTACGTCGCCTCCTCAGATTTTCTCGTTGCCCCTGAGTTCTGGAGCGCCCATTTCTCCTGGCGGCGGTGAATGAGTTCGTGTTCGGGGAGTGAGCTGAGCTGATCCTCGCGGCCCCCCCCCTCGCCTCCCCTCCCGCGTGCGAAGCCAGAAGCTCCTTCCGGGTTAGCCAGCATTGCCCCCCTCGCAATCCTCGCCCCAACATAACACGACGCGGGAGGCGGCAGCAGCCAGACACCCGGCGCGCGCGGGGAGGAGCAGCAGCGGCGTCTCCCTCCTGGCCGCGGGAGGATGCGAGCGAGCAGCCGAGCCCAGCCGAGAGGTGGCACCACCAGGCGCAGCCAGACGGGAGGCTGTGGCGCCGCCTGAGTGTCCGGGCGGGCAGGCAGGGCGAAAGGCGGCGGCGAGGAGCGAGGCAGCGGCGGGCATGGAGCGGCAGTGCTCCGGCGCGGTCGGGAAGCCCAGCGCGGGCAGCCGGACGGCCCCGGACGGCGCGCGGGGCGCTGGGCCGTCGTCGTCGTCGGTGGGCGCCCTGCAGCGCGGGGGCAGCCAGAGCGCCGAGCCGGACGAGCTGATCCGCAGAGCTCTGGATTTCAAGAGCCAAGGCGCGCAGTGCTACAAGGAGAAGAAATTCCGCGAGGCCATCGGCAAGTACCACCGCGCGCTGCTGGAGCTCAAGGGGCTGCTGCTGGCCCAGGAGGAGGACGACGACGTCGGGGACGGAGACGAGCCGCCGCCGCCGCGCCCTCGTCCTCCTCCTCCTCCTCCTCCGGCGGCGGCGGCTTGGGCAGAAGCCTCACGGGCGAGCAGAGCCAGCTGCTGGAGAGCATCGAGATCGACTGTTACAACAGCTTGGCAGGTCAGCAAAGGGGCTCTTTCCTTCCTTCTGGCGGGAGATCACTCGAGGGGGGCGCGCCGTTCCGCTGCTCTCGCCCCGACGGCACCTGGAAATAAACTTTGCCCGGAGAGCAGAGCGTGAGGGGCGCCGGGGAACGAGGGAGGGATCATGGGGAAATGTGCCCAGTCTAGCCCCCTGCTTGCAAGGTCGATTGGAAAGCGCCGCGCCGACGACAGGTGCCGTTTCCCTCCCACCCCATGGCCGGAATTCCGGACTTGGGTGCAGATGGAGGCCGCCCTCCGGTTTCCCCAGGGTCAGGAGAGGCCGCCTCTCCAAGGCATTTCAGGAGGTCCCCCCCCCCCCAGCGAGGCAGCAGATTAGACGCTCCTGGCTCAGGATGGCAGGCGGCTCTCTCAGGTCTCCGTTGCATGTTGCCTCCTAGTCTTATTTATTAGGAAGAGCCAGCAGGCGATAGAACTACTGCCAGGACCCCCAATATCTAATGCTCGAGTGTGCAAACGTGCGGGTCAATACACCAGGGAACTTTCTCAAAGTAAAATAATCATGGAGGTAGGTCTCTGCCCCAGAAGGTTGCCATTTATATTTTAGCATTAGAGAGGAGGAAATGTCTGTCTTGTGGCATCGTAAAGACCACATTTTTATCCTGGCATAGGCTTTCATGGACAAGAGCCAGCTTTGTCAAGGGAAAGCCTAGCTCAGCAGTAGAGCATCTGCTTTCCATGCCTCAAGTCGCAGGTTCAATCCCTGGCATTGCCAGGTAGGGATGAGAGAAACCCTGGGGAGCATCTGCCAGTCAGTGTGGACAATACTGAGCTAGATGGCCGAATGATTTGACTCCGTGTAAGGCAGTATCCTGTCAGATGCATGATGTGTTGTCCCTAGTTGACAGATAGAAATAGGTATCTGTTGACTGTGAGTAACACTTCATGCATCTGCCAAAGCGGGCCCTGCTCCAGGAAAGCTGAAGCCACAATAAATCTGTCAGGGCCCCTCCAGACGGGTGTTTTTCTGCAACATGTCATCGAGGCAATAACAGGGCATTAGTGGTGGATTTATACCCGGCTGTCCACACATCATTCTGCTTTATTAATCGCTCTGCGATGCTTCCCAAATGATACTGCATTATTGCCTTCCAGGGGGTGCGCTCTTGAGCACAGACCTGCAAAAGCAGAGCAAAAACAGCCCCGGAACATGGGGGATGGTATGAAAAGTCACAGGATTTCATCAGGAAGTGACAGGACATTCCCTGTCTGGAAACGAAGTAGTCTGTCTACCCCAAAACTCTTGCAGGTGTTGGCAGGATTGAAAATGGGATTGCATATAAATGTCCTTATACCATCTTTTACAAATAACCATAAGATGTGCAATAAGGGGGACACCAGGAGAGGTTAAGGTCTGCGGGTTCTTTCTGCTGTTTTTCGTTGCAGCTAAATAACACAGCTCTGCCTCTGGAATGGGTCACCAAGGGAAAGTTAGCATCACTGTAGGTCCAGTGGCAGCAGATCTCTCTCTCTCTCTCTCTCTCTCTCTCTCTCTCTCACACACACACACACACACACACACAGAGAGAGAGAGAGAGAGAGAGAAAGGAGCACAATAGCAGTGATGTGTGTTTGGAGAGAGTAGGGAAGCAACAGCAAAGTTCTTAGGTCATGGTGTATAATTTGTGTCAGGAGACCAAGAGGGTAAGCCAGAGGCTCCACTATAGAAGAGAGAAATTGGAAGAAATCCAATGCTGGGGGCAGGAATATTTACCTAACAGTGTGGTGAAGAGAGGGGGACAGGAACAGAGGGGCAGCATCCAGCAGATCTCTCTTGGAAGTTGGAGCAGTCGACAAAACAAGCAAAGCCAACTATGGTGCTAACTCTTAAAACCCGTCATGCAGTGGGGTTAACGTCTCTGTTCTTTATGTCTTTCAAGAGCTGTGTAAATAGGAACCTGCAGTTCTGTGAGGCAGCTGCTCTGATGTCGGGGGACTTGAAAGTGCTTTCCGTCCTCCGAGCTTAATACACCAGCTTTTTCCACCGGCCTATTTCCTGCAATTGTTTTTACCATGGCTTCAGTTCAGTCATTTGGTATGAGGAGTGTTGCAGTGGGGAGCGGAGTACTTGTCTGTCCTAGGATCAGTCACCATCACATATGTTGGGTGTTTTTGTTTTAATTGTAGATATCAAATAGGTCAGTTAAATTTTAATTTGTGCCAGCTGTGGGGCACCAAGAGGAACTTGTGGCCAAGCCTGGATGTGCAACTTACACACAGTTGTATTCTGTTCCTGCAGTATTTACTCCAACCAAAACTGACCTTAGCTCTGTGTGTGTGTGAGAGAGAGGGGGGGGGGAGGGAGAGATGATACAGTGGGGATCATATGCAAGTTTCTCTTTCTTGTCCTGCCCTATTTCTCAAGCTTTTAAATACACATTTTATTGACTATATGCTATGAATGTATAAGAAGCCTAAAGCACTTTGGTGTAGAGAAGAGTGTGACAGCCCCATGAAAAGGATGGCAGTTGTTCTATACTGGCAGATTTGTTTCTGTGCTTTTTGTAAGGCATGTAATTATTAATAACAAAAAATGTTGACTGTGACCTACGAGATGGCAAAGACTGGCCGATCCAGTCTTTGCACTTTGGAAACGCTTTGAGTAGGGCAAAGACAAATGGAAAACCCTGTCAAGAGAGGGTCAGCTGAACGAGAGAGCTCTGGCCTGCTCCCGTGAGCCACGGTGGCTGAGAGTGGCACAGCTCCAAAGGTCTGGCAATGAGATTCCTACCTTGGGTTGAAAAGGCAGCTCATTGCTTTGTTGTGCTGGCAGAGCTATCCAGCCATGCTCGGTGCAGCAGCATCCTTTGCACTGCTGGGTGCCAATTCTCCTTCTCCAGCTCTTAGGAAGAAACAGTGGTCAGTGGGTTGCTCTGACATGGGTGGGGAAAGGAGCCTTTTTGTGCCCACAGGAGCTCTGGAAAAGGGTTCAATTTCTCATAGAAAAGGATCTTTCTATGAATTGCACTTTGCATTCACAGAACAGAGGCATGAGAAAGCCAAGAATTCAGAAAGCTCTCTTGCTCCTCTCCCGTCTGCCTTTTGCATGTTTCTCAGGTCTGCTGGATCTCCATACACCCAGGAACCGTTTAACATGTACCTGTAAATCAGTTGATGCTCACTGCCAAACATATGAATCGCCACCTTTGAGAAGGTTGGCATTTGAATGTTGTCAGAGGCAATGCAAGGTCTCTTTATGGCGTTTGATCTGCAGTAGCTTTTTCTTGCATTCAACCCCTCCTGGGATGTTGCAGTCAAGGAACGATAAACATATATGTGTGAACTTCCCCTGAAGCTATAAGGCTGAAACTCTTTCGCTTGCAAGTCAAAGCAGCAATTAGCTTCTCTCAAAACACATCTGATGATTTTGTGAAATGTCGTCCCTTCTTTTCATCCAACATGCAATTTTTCTTCTTGCTGTAGTGGAACATTTTGGAGAGAGAACATCAAATGACTTTGGGTTGTCCTCACCCCACCCCCCAATTCATTCTTGTATATGTATAAATGCTGCAACATTGCTATCCTTATCCAAGGATTATTCTTATTCTTTTGTGAAAAGAAGCAACACTACACACATTGATTTGTTTCCCTCTCCCATTGCACTTTGTGCTTGCAAGGTACTATATACATTATCAGGGCTGCGGCATTAATAATTCAGCAAATGCTGAAGTGCTCCCTAGTTTTGAAAAATAGATATTGTTAACTGGAAAACATCTGCATGATCGTCAGTACAGAGATGCCAATCAAACGGATCTGAAATGGCTTTGGGTGACGTTTTGGCAGTGCTGGTAGCCTTTCCGCTGAGCCTGCAAGTTCCCTTGCTGAAAATGTCTACCCGGGTGCTCGGAACTGCTTTGCATCACAATAGCGGCGTATGATACGACGTGCTTTTTTCTAATTCCTTGTACGGCTTTGTTATTGTTCCTTCCACATTTTACTACAACAGAGGGGAGAGCGCATTTCTTGTACTTTCCCTCGATGTTCCCACAGGGCTTTTTGCCTTGGAGTGGCAAGGATGCCCACTGACAGTTACCAGCCCATTGTTTGGTGTACCAGACAAGTGAGACAAGTTTGTGTGGCATCCTTTCTGTATGAATCCCACAGTAGTACACACTGCTGTAGATCAGGTGTACAGCTCTGTGTAGACCTACATGATTTCATAAGGGTCAGAATGCTTTCAGAATGGCATAAAAGATGCTTTTTGCTCTGACCTGCTTTGTCCTATCCAGGGCAACTCCATTGATCCATCTCCTCCTATTTCTGACATCTTAGTACACCTGCCTGCCATGGCTCCTCTGAATGCACCCAGCTTCCCTTCTGCATAGCTTGACATCCCAAGTCACCTTGCCATGTCAGTGCAAGACAACCGGCCTGTTAGAGGACAGCATAATTAACCTTAGCAGCAAGGACAGTCTCATCCACAAATCACTGAAATACAGATACGCATTGACACTAATAGGACTAAATTACCTGACATCCAAACAACCTGGCATAGTTTATTGGTGGGTCAAGCCAACAGGGTTTCCCTGGCGACCGTTCCATACCTTATAAAAAATTGACTGTAATGCGTGATCTCCTGCCCCTCCGATGTCTCCAGCTGTATTGCGGAGCTACAAAAAGGGAGCACAGCTGTAGTGACTTCAGCACAGTGTTTCAAGTGGGGGAGGGGTGTCACAGTGTATTTGAAGGATGCTTGGCGTATCAAAATGGAGTGCCCATCACCAAACAAAACAGGGCAGGCTAAAATCTTCATCACTAGAAGCCTATTTTGTGTATGTGTGTGGCAGAGTTGATGTACCAGGAGAAGGGATAATGTGTGAGGAGGTGGCTGCTATGGCTAAAGATGCTCCTGAGGATGCATTCCCATCTACCCATCCTAGGAGCAGGTGACATTGCAGACACACACAGTTCATTAAAAAGGATGAGGGGAGCAGAAGGTCTGTGGAACTCTTTAGGCTG